GGTGGTTGCAAAGGTTTTCACTGCCCTATGGGATTCACCTGYTGTAGCTCCTGTGCAGGGCAATAGATGCACAGATAAAATAGTTTTCTGCACTGTTACTGCTTTATTAAAACCTCAGCAAGTGCAAGGGGTATACCAGTTGCTCTGAAAAATAATTACCAAATCAGTATGTGTATCTCTTCCTGGAGCTTCTTAATGTTCCTTCTAATAGCCTTTTCAGGTGCCCAAAAGGTTGTTCTGCTGCTCTGTTTTTCCCTTTGCTGGAAAACCAAAGCTTTCTAAGATGCAGCTGGGAACTTTTTGTGTCTTCCCATGCTCTTCTGTGCCTGGCCTCAGGTCTATGTGGAGCACAGGTGCCYGTGTGTTGCACCAATTACTGCATGTAAGCAGCACCAGACTGGAGTGAATAGAGTTGTCTTAGCATTGAGAGCATAAGTTTTATTCTGTTGATGTCCCAGATGGAAGATTTATTGAACAAGTTTGACAAGGTCTGACTTCCTTCAGGCAGTATGAAAGGGCTGAAGCAACCTAATGTACTGGTCTAGTGGGAGACCCTGTAAGGGTAGATTTCTAAAGGGTTTATAAAGTAAACTGCAATCCATTGGTGCACAAASCAAAACTATGCATGTTCCTTATGTATTCTGTAAAACATGCAGGCTTCCAGAGAGGTCAGTGGCAGGTTTCTAAATTGCTTGAGAGAGGTTGGCATGTTACAAATGTGCGACTGAAATTCATGCAAACCTGCCTTGCTGAACTTCTGTATTTAAAAGCATATAGGTCTATTGCAAACGCTGAGCTCTGCTGTTAATTTTTTTTAATAAAAAGAACTACAGACTCTGGGATTGCTTGTGAGTAACCTATGTGTTGTAGGCTGCTTGTTGCAAGGATAGTTATGACTCTGTCTCGGGTATCGGGTGGCCGGCGTGGCTTCCCCCTTGCTGCTGCTGGACGTTGCTGCAGCAGGGCCTGCCTCTGCAGTATGCGGTTACGGCTCGGGCCAGGTCTCTGGCCGCTGTGCGAGTCGCCTCTCCCTGCTGTTGTGGTCCTTGAGTTTAGGAAACACGGGCCAGCAGCTGCACCTGCGTGGTGGCTTGTTTGGGGCACAGCAGCCTGTTCGTACTCCTGGCCATTCCACCCTGATCAGTGCAAGTGGGTATGAAGTGGGGCAGGGATCAAGGAGCCCACAGGTCATGYAACTTGTCCTTCAGCTCGTGGTGGAACAAGTGAAGTGCACCCAGATGTGGGCCTGCTGACTGCTGTGGGTGTGAAAGCAGGCGTGGTGCTGCCCTCTGAGCACCAGAGGCTTCTGCGTGGGATGGAAAGATGCACGTGGGGGAGACGTGGGGCTCTGAATGCCCCAGGTGCTGAAGACTTTGCCCTGTGGCTTTGGATGTACAGGACAYTGAAAAGCCATCTCGGACACCTTGCTTGCATGAGGGTGGTATTGAGAAGAGAACCCTTTGCAGTAGGGTTGGGCATGAATGAATACCTTTGTTGATTAAAAAGAACTATTTAAAATTATTTTTCTAACTGTATTTTCTYCTCCTTGCAGCAGTGTGAAATTGTAGCATAGTAATTGCAAATTAGAGAAAAATCTGTCCTCCAAATCCCAAACAGCTTCCACTCACTTGCCAAAACTGCAACTACTGAATTTACCTCTAACTGAAGTTTTAAAAGTAAGGCTGTGAATCTGAGAGAATTAGTTGTCAGATCTGATGCTTTCTTCCCCACACTCCCTTTTTTTTTTAAACACTCACTATGAAACCTAATGGAAAAATTGACAAGTGAAAACGGATTTTTTGGGCGGGGGGGACGGGGAGAGAGTTTTCTTTGGAAATARCAGAAGTGTTCCATAAGAATTGTTCTTGTTTTCAAAAGGTCAACACTTAGTGTTCTGATCAGTGACCATATAGCAAAACATGACTCCTGAAGTATGTATATGAAGAAGATGTAATAACTAATGCTTTGTATTTGATTGGAGATATAGTTTTGGTACAGGTATGAGAGGGTAACCTGTTGCTGCCTCCTGTCCCTMCTGGTGAAGACTGCCTGAGCTCCTTAGACATTTGGCTGCCTCGAGCCAAAATATGGTATCAGTATTGGTAAATCATGTGGAGAAACTGCATAAAATTACAACTTGTTTGTAAAGTTAATGTGCTGAAAGCTAGATCACATTTTTCTTCACAATTTAAAACTTACCTATAACTCTTTCCTCTATTACATTGTTTCYGTGCAGTGTTTGATGTGCCCAACAGACTGGCAGTCACATTAAACAGCAGCATTTTTTATTTTCTTTCTGTTTTTAATTTTTCAGTTGACGGTCCTATTGGCTGCATAGACTTTGCTAAGCTTCAGCAGGCTAATTAGCATCGTTATTGCCCTCCTCCATCTCCTACTTGCCCTCATCCTCTTCCCTGGCAATCCAATGCGATTCAATGCTAAAGATCTGGCTTTGCTGGCCAGGCAGCCACCAGGTTGTTTTGACAAGGAAGGAAAACTGAAGATTTGCAGAGTGGTTGGAGCTGAAAAATTAATAGGTAAAAGTGATTTGCAGTGACAACTACCCGTGGCTGATGTGCATGTCTGACTGCTGCTACGTTTTCCTGTTTCACTAAGTGTGTGTTTCTGCCTGCTTTTCCTTTTCCTATTTGCTGAGTCTTGAGTGGTGCTGAGTAGCTTGGAGTAGCTGCTYGCACAGCCCAGCACTGGATGAGGCTGCCCTCACAGGTGGGAAAGGAAGGTGAGTGGTGGCCCTTTGGTCGCCAGCCAGCTGTGTTTGCCTCGGAAGAGCTGGGGCTCATAGGGATTCCCTCAATGCTCAGTGGCCAGGGGAGTGGGGAAGGGTGTTATGTCAAACTCCTGAATCAACTGGTATGAGCTGAGCAGTAACAAAAGACCTTTTGATAAGCAAATGTTCAGTGTTTTTTGAAAAGTGGTRAGTAAACTGAAAGCCTTAACTTCATGAGGTTTTTCAGCTGTAGCTGAGAAACAGCTGCAGATGACCAGAACTAGGCATGTGCTGTGAGGGACTGTTAGTCACCAGTCATTAGTTATAGATATCCAGGTTTTTGTCAGGAGAAAAAAACAAAACAAAACAAAAAACCCTTTGCATTCTGTTTTAGCGTTGCAGGTTTTTTTATGTCCTTTGCCAGCTCTTTTGCAGACCACTTCTGGTTTTTACAATCCTGTATTAAATGTGCCTCTCTGTTTCCAGTATGCCTGAGTAAATGACCTTTTCCCTAGGTAGCTGTTGGTGAACAAATATTGCTTAGATGTAGAAATCATTTCTAATRCATTCTCAAAAATAGCAAATTGTCATTTTTGATAGTCAAAATTTTTCAGTTGCTAGCTAGTTACACAGACATATATATGCTTTTTTAAAAAAGAAAAACAAGCGTGGTTGGACTTGATTATGCTGAAGGATTTAAACCAATTGTGGCACATATGGGGCATAAATGTCTTTTCCAAGGAAGATGTGGGCTGAAGAGCAGGGTTTGCTCTTGTGGCCCCAGCAGGGTTTCTAGTGGGAGGACATTCCTCTGGCTTCCAGTCCCCTGCAGGCCGTGTGCCTTGGGAGGAGGCCTTGGTGGTGGTGAGCTCTGTTCCTGATGGACGTGGCATGGGTGAGCTGGGCCAGCCCCTGGGCTACCCTGTTTTCGATGTTTAGGAGATGCCTGAGCATCCTATGCAGGTGCCTTTGGCTAGCGAGCGTGGTGGATGTGGCAGGATCCCTAGTCCTGCTGCCACAGGCAGGCTGAGCAGTGACCCAYGCTGTCGGCCAGGCCTGGTTAGGCTCGGTGCTGGCGACATCAGGATTAGGTTCTAGCTGGTRAACGTGGCAGTTCTTAAAGTGGTCCTTTCTCTGTTGCTTTATGCTTACATCTGGGAAGATCCAGGAGCATCTCTTCTAATTACAAAGAAGCAAACCAACTCRCATGTAGCAAATTGCTGTCTGTACATGCATGTGCTTGTGAGTGGAAGCCTTCTAGCACTGATGGAAGACWATTTTTCAAACAGTGCCCACCAAAGTAACCAAGAGGAAAAGAGTTTCTTCTTACTTTTAGTGTAATCAGACATCCCTCTGGTCACTCTTGTGTGTCAGGTGGTGGCTGGCTGCAAGGGAGCAACGTGGCCAAAGGGTGCAGCTGCCTGGGGTCTCCCTGTTAGTGGATAGAGGCTGCCACTGCTCTCTGGAGCCTGGGCAGTTTCATGAGTCCTCTCAAAAATAGAAAAGAAGGAAGGTTGTTCCTTTTCTTTTGGAAGTAATGTTAAGCTTTGTGTATGGAAATTGCTTTTGACTTTCTCTATTAATATTTCACAGAGGAATGGATGTAATTTTAAAATACTGGCTAGTTTAGCAAGAAACTTTTCATTTTGGAGTATCTCTTGGTTTGTTTCTTCTGCCCACCGCAGAGCTCTGAAGCATCCTCTTTGCAGCCTGTGGCTGCTTACCTGTGTGTGCGCAAGTGCATGTGCCCTTCCTGGTAGGTAAGGATCTCCATGAAGAGTGAAATAACAATAGCAAAGCTGCTATAGATATCTAAGCCTTATTTGCTCCCTCTTTATTTTCTGGGAATTGTCAATTTGGATCAGTGTCTTCTGATCCGAATAACATAGTACATCTCCCAATAAGATAGTACATGTTTTAGATTTTTTTTGTCCTAACAAGGATTATATTTTATCTCCTGAAATGACGGGAGCAAAAGCAGTTCCGTGCTGAAGGGGCTGTTATGCTGCTACGCGAGGAGAGGGAGAAGCGGGCGGAAGGCAGCCGGGGAGATGCTGCAGCCGCCAGTTCCCTCGGCTGCCGGGTGACAAGCTCTTCTGGGGCAGTTAGCTGGCGCGGAGCAGCGTGTTGCACACGCAGYGCCTGAGCGGGGCTGCCTCACTGCTGCTCTTAATGGTTTTCTCTTCTGACCTTTATTACTAATGCATCTGCTTGAAGAAGCATTTAATGGGCAAAGGCAAAATTTTATTATTCTCTTACTTTTTGCATACAGAACCGAGGGAGAGATGGTGCCGACTGAAAGGAAATCTGCTTTTTCTAATGAAAAATAAGGTAACTCGTTTTTCTACTGCTTTACTTGATGTGTTATTCTAATCTCTATGAACTTGAGTAATCCTTTTTCATGATGGCTATTGGCATAGTGCTTTGAGGGACATAATCACTAGTATTAGAAGAGTGGAGAGGAGAAATCTGTTGTTTGCCTTTTCATAGCRTTAGACATTCTTCATGATATCAGCCGTGTTCTGTAGCTGAATCATAAGTAGTTTAGGTCTGAATTCTGATCAAAATATCCTGATGCAAATCCAGAATTGCTGCATGGGATATACTGGAACAATGAATGCAGAACTTGAGCTGAGTAAAATATTTAATGTTTAAGATGCACTTTCAGACTAATGCTGCAGTTTTGTGTCACTTTGTAATTAGATCTATTGTGAAGAGTGGGGTTATTTTTGCTTCCTTTATGCACAAACAGTTTGTTTCAAAATAAACTGCCCAGAGTCAAGGCCTGTTAAAAGGGTGTCTGATGATGCCCTGTAGTAAAATCTTACTAGAGGTGCCAAGTGTCCTTGCTCCCAACTGACTTGACTAGGAGTTGGGGCCCATCCTTCATTGGAAGGAGTGAACGTGAGGTTTGGGATTGCCCCTTTTCCCACCCCCTTTGGGCTGGTGTGATGAAAACAGCTTCTGTAGTGGGCTGAAAATAAGAATTCTTGCACTGGTTTGAGGAAGGCAGTGAATATGAGGCTTGAGAAGATAATCTGATATTGAATGTTTTATAGCTTGCTCCTAGAACACTTTCATATTATATGGGCCAGTGCTTTAGCAGAAATGTTAGTAGTGCTTTACAGTTTGTATGTTCTATTGGAAAGTTTCAGCATCATGTAGTGGCTTATTTAAATGTGGTGATAAATGTGCGTATATGATGKACTTCTAATGGTGTTTACTCTCAAAGCAGTGCTCAGGAGGATGTGTATAACAGACAAGCACCAGTGCATGTGAACACAGTGATACAGCATGACAAGGTCGCCTGGGTGCCTTGGGGTGATAAAATGAGGAATAAATCTTTAGTGCATGAAAGCAAGGTCAGGACAAAGACACCATTTTGTCACACCACTGTATACTGTGGTCTTGCCATGTGACTTGTAGAAACCCGTTTTTGCAGAGGGGCTTAAGGGAGTCCCAAACAGCTCTTCCTGCCTGCTCATTCCTCCAAGCATCTCTGCTTTTTTTGGCTTCTTGAGCTCCTAATGCTAAAGCTGTTCCTCATGCTGTCTGGAGAGCTCACAGGGACTCGAGGAAGGGTACCCTTGTTTTTCCTCCAGCCATGTCCCGCTCTTGCTGGCTGAGCATGGATCAGAGATGACATCTCATGTGAGCAGGCAGCCAGTCTCTATGGTGTGGTCCCCATCTATGATCCTATGGTTTCCCCCTATGGTTGTCATGGTAATGCTGGCACTGAGCCAGGTCTGCAGATTAGTTTGCAAACTAGAGATGAACCAAAAGTTAGTTAAGTTTCCTGGTTCTCAGTAATGGCTCTGGGGCCTGCATGTCCTGTTGAATAAGCAAGTATTTTGGCATTTCTACTTGGGTTTGGATGTGTAATTAGGAATTTATTTAAAATGGGATTTTTGAACAGTAGACTCTGGTAGACTTCTAAGGAGAGTCTTCTGAGTCTATGTAAATCCTTCTTACTTTGCAGTTTAATGATCCAGAGAAGGAACCATTCCAGTCTGTTAGGTCCATTTGTGCACATGCTTGCACAATAAGCTTGGGCTTCTTTTCTGATGTCTCAAGTGTCTGGTGTGTGGAAGCTTTTAATTATTGTATTGAGCTGTTTAAAAACTTCTATGATGTATTGACTTTTTAAAATTACTRTGTGGGAAGGGACTTGATTATATGGATGGCAGTATTTGAAATGAAAGCTCTTTTGAGTGCTCAGAGTGCTTAGAATTGGCAGTCTTGTAATTGCATAGGTGATTGTAAAATTGTTATCCTTTTTCCCCACTCACCCAGTCTTAGGGAAAAGAAGTAGTAACAAACTTGCGACAGAGTTGTGCTATTTTGAATTTGTATGCAACTTTTCCTGTCCCCATCAGCTCCCTTTGTAAACAAGGGGCATCAATTCTTTACATTGATTACATGGACAGATGGATTAATGAAGTTTAGAGCAGCCTAGTTCTAYGCAAAATGTCTAAAGGTTTTAAGTAAAACATGGTGAACATTGAGACTGCTTTTTTAGTGGATTACTGTTTTTAACTGTTTTGAGCATAGGCTTGCAGACAAGATTAATGAGCAAATCTAAATGTTTGTGCTGTCAATCTCAAGCTTCTTGCAATGTTTGTGAAAGATTAGCATAAATTATATTGTTACAGCATTTGTCACAAGTCTAATGTGTTATTAACAGTTGACAGAAGCTTCAAAGTGAGATTATGGATTGACTTGTTAATAACCACGGAATCATGCGCAAGGTAGAAATAATAGAATAATGGCACTTCTGAGGGTCTGATGTGAACTGCATTGCAATGCAGCTGTGCAAGTGTTGGGTTTTCATGGCACAGGATATGTCAGCTCTGTCAGAAGTGTGCAGATACATCAGTGAGGCTTCTCTGCATTCAAGTAGATCAGCACTGTGTGGTCTCTGGTGTTTCAGCAAGGATTGCAAGGATTTTTCATAAGTGAATTGGTATTTTTAAATATCCTTAGAGTAAGATTGCTCTGCTGCAATTGTGGAGCATTTTCTGTTCAGTTTGAGTTTTCTTTGCATATATTTGTGTGTGGTTTAACATTCTGCAAGTCACTGATCTCTTTGGGGCACCTTGTAAATAAAAGCATCTCCTCTGGCTAAGGATGTACTTAGAAATCATTTTTCAGCAATATTTTCACTTTTTCTAGAGCATGCTCTCTACCAGTTCAGGGCCTGAGCAGCCAGAGTCAGTGTTGGTACAAGTACAGTTTTGCTTTGAGTTTGAGCATCTTTGCCAGACGTGATGATGTTTTCACAAAAAATATCCTGTGTGCATGTAAACACAATGTATTAGTGTGAACAATGTTTTGTAATGTCTGTAAACTGAAAAGCTAGGAAAATGAGCTGGCATCTGAAATATAATAATCCCTCAGTTGGAGTGAAACATGTTGCTGTGTTGATAAGGCTTTGATTTCCTGTAGGAAGTAGGCTAAATTAGAAAGCAAGAGCCTTGGCACAGGAGGAAGTGAAAGTTGCACACAACTTGCCTTCCCGTATGCTTTGTGTGTATCTATAAAGTGAAGCACTGCAGGAGCAACCGATACAATGTTGGCCAGGGTCTGGTCAAGAAGTGAAATGAATTTTTCTGCTGAGAGGAATGTTTCTACATAGGTTGGTCCTAGCCTAGTGCATCAGTGAATATAACTCTGGTTTCTYGTGCAGTTTGGCAAGAGGGTGTTTCAGCAACTCTGCTGAAACTCTGCTCTGTTGACTCCAAGTCCAGGGAGCCCCAAACTTTGCATGTTTTTGGCAGGACAAGCTCAGGCCAGACTTTTGCTACCAAGAGCCTTTGTACAACCAAGATGCCCATGCTGACTGTCATTGCAGTCTTGCTTTCCAGAAGTACTTGAAAACACAATTTATAACCACTAAGCTATGAGAATAGCTGTTTGCTTGCTCCACTTTTTACTATGAATTGAAAGATTGTATCTCTTTCCAATTAATTGGATCCTGGCAAGCCTGCTGCCTTTTTTTTGCCATCTCTGATTTCTGCATTTATCTTCTTTCTTGCCTCTGGGTGTTCCTGACTTGCTCTCCAGATAGTGAAAACTTCCCTTCTGCTTCTATCATGATGCAGACTGCTGTGGTTACCCCTGCTTGCTTTGATAACTCTTTACTATCTCCTGTTCATCTTCTGCATCTACTTTAATCTGCTAACTTTATTCTTTAATCTGTTGCTTTTCTCTGGCTCTTTCATGGAACAAGTGTGATTTAATCTTGCCTTTTTGCACCTCTGTTCATGGCTCTCCTGCTTCCCTAGCTGTGTCCATTGCTCTCTTTGATATCTGTGTTCTTAGGGCTCTCTTTACAGCTGCACCTACTACAAATCTATCCCAGTGTCCTTTCCATTTCTGGTCCCACTTCTGTCCCTTGTGTGCTACAGACCCTGCTTGTCTCCTGAATGACCCCTCTGAGCAAAAGCTGAGGAGCAGGTCTGTGTGTCTCTGTCTTCTGGTCCCGCTGCTAGCTCATCTCTGGCTTCCTGCGGTCCATTCCCTCCCAGTCATTCTTGGCTTATTTCTTCTACCATATCTTTCTGGTGGCCATCCATGGGGTGCTGCATCCAGAGCTGAAGCATACATGGAGAAAATACAACTTAAATGTGCATTCCTCAGTGCAAATGAATACATGTGCCTCTGTACCTGTTTACRCAATTTCATTGCTTTTTCAGTGATCCCTTTGTGTACTTCTAGCCATGAATTCAGTTTCAGCATGAATCAGAGCTCTGTAATCTTTCTTGTCAAGCTCTTCCACTTACCACCTTTGACAGTTAAGGTAGTTCATTGCTTCTGTTCATACTGCTTATATTGTTGACTTTAATACCATGTTCAATAGGGATGTGTTTCTAAGCACTTACATTTCAGTTGTATGCCTATCTTGCAAGTTGCTTTTAAGACAGTCTTCTCTTGGTGTCTCTGCTACCACACAACTCRGGGCTGGGATCAACTTAAGTCACATGGTCAAGTACAAAACATCTTGCTCTTGGTCATGGTAAAATATTTGATGCTACCCATTAGAGCGCGCTTACGAAAATAACTTTTCTGGGGGCATTTTGGCTCTGTTACTGTCCTTTGCATCTGTCTGACCTTTCCTTTGGTAAGCCTTGCTTTCACTTCTGAGACCTTTACCAGTCTCCACTGCCCTGTCTACCCTACTGAAAGGATGATTCAAATCTGTGACCAGGACACGATATAATAAGTCTATAACCTATGAGGAGGCCCTAAAGAATAGCTCTTGCTAAAAAATGGACAAGTAATCTCTATCTTCTCCTATATTCTAGGAGAATCCCTTGCTATGATGCTTACAG